TCAGATTGGCTTGTACTGATTATAATCCTACTCCTAATGTTCGGGATAACGTTTTTGACTTTCCCAATACTAGACATCAAACTTTCGATTTAAAATGCCGTGCTTGTAATTACTTAAGGTTTTGGTTCTTATACTCCCGGGTGCTACACCCAGAGACCAGTAAAGGTATAAGATGGACTTCGCCCCTCAGAGGGAAATTCTATTGTATATTTCATTTATTGGTTTTATTAATTTATTTTTAATAATAAATTTTTTGTTGTATTTTCCCTTGTTTTATTTTATTATTTACTTATCATTACATTTGTGTGTTTCTTATTCTAACTTACAATGCCAAGCACAGAAAGTTAGTGCGTTTCACGTGAGTACCTGCGATGATGGGTCAATCTCACGGTATTCGAAAATAAAGCAAGCTGAAAGAATGCGTCGGCTAGCGCCCCTCCGGGACACTGCTTGCACAGTAAACCTTCGGTACCAATTGAATGCATGTTGGACAATACATTCCCTCATTGGTGGGAGGTGATGCCTTTCTAAGACCTTAATTGTACAATTTGGTTGAAACGCAACTCCACGTCGAGCAAAGCTCTACCCGCGATTTGGATATAAACCTCAGCCACCATACTCCATGAAGAGCCGCAACCATAAAGTCAAGACGGAACAAGTTCCGCGGGCTCTTGGCTACCAGTGGCACCAAATTTACTGACAGTTTTGGTCAACTGCCGAAGAATTCTACTTCCCATTTTAGTTTACCGCTAGACACAAAATGGGTGATCTTTTTCGCCGCTCCAATTGGCTGGATGTACAAATCTATCTTGGACAATCACTCAGTGTTATCACGTGAGGCTATAATCAAATTTGTGGGGCACATTGTGCCTTAAAGTCGACTTGACTAATGATTTACGAATTACGCAACATACCTTTCTATATCGGTCCATTGAACCCCAGTGCCGAGCACAGCAGGCTTCCTAGGTTCCTCTTTGGTCTTCGGAGTATCCAGAACCTTGTACCAAAGATGTCGGCTGCAAGAGTTTCCTGTCCCACGCTGCATTCCAGGTCCTACTATGTCAACGACACAAGTTTGGCTTAAATAACACTCAACACTACTAGTGGGTATTACCCGGCCTTACCTGTGGCAAATTTGGGCTCGAAATTTTGCATATTACTAATTTACCCAGATTGCGGTCGATCAAAAAAATCCCGAGACTTCGCCCGAACAACCTTTGACATCCATTTTTCATCTAGGAGAAGTGGGTTTTCCGAAAAGTGTGAAACACGTCACAAATTAATTTTCTTTGAGATAGTTGCAAACATCCAAAAGTTCGGACACTCAACTTTTGATCCGCATTTTACATTCAAGATTACATTCAAGAGGGGTAGACATTACGAAAAGTTTGAAACACCTCTCAGATCTTTGAAAATGAGCTTGGAGCGTAGTTTACCACTATAACGGTTGAAATTTCCAAAATCACTGAAACACATATTCACTAAATTCCTATATATGGCTTTGAAAATAAGTTTGAAGCCAATCGGACCAAACTTATAACTTTGCTCAAAAAATCATTGATCCGCATTATTTATTTATACCAAGGAGGAATGGATTTTCCAGAAAGTGTGAAACACTCCTCAAATGAGTTAAGCATATATCTTTGAAAATGAGTTTGAGGCCGATCGGATGGTAAACAAAAAAATGTCACATAAATGTTTTTCGTAATTTTCCTTATTTGCGGGTGGAGTTTCCCAAAACCCTTTCTTACGATGGGGGCTGTGCGTTGACCACCAATCAATCAGTCAGTTACGACTAACAGTTTTATATGTAATTATATATTTATATATGAATGAATGCATAATTAAATTACCAAATTACCAAACTAGATTGATCCCTTGCACACTGTCATATAGCTGGAAGCCATGTGTACTTACGCCAGATACGCGCAACAAACTAGAAAGTTTTCGGAAGTTCACAAGCCCGAAAATGTCGTTTGTACCTAACAAAATTTTAATAAAAAAATAAATTATGCTAGATTTTTAGCTTCCCTCTAGCTAGATGCATATAATGTGGTTTTCTTTTCAGAGGGCTTAGAACTAATGGCACTGAACTCACTCCTGGTTCCGGCTGTTAATTTATAACAATATTTTAAATGCACTGGATATGCGGTTTTGATATAGGTGAGAATGTGATAGTGATGAAGTCGATGATATGGTGAATGGGAAGATGGGGGATCGGGATATGTCGGATGGCTCTTTTTACCACTGAAGACGACCTCCATGAGACCTCCAACCCACAACCCAGAAATAAGCTGTTTGGCTGGCCAATAATGGTTTTTCGACTACACATTAGAAGCGATCTGGGTGGTGATCGGAACAGTCAAGCTTTTTACTTCTTATCAATTTCCTCAGTTTTATTTTAAGCTGCTTTAAGTGGGGCCACAATGGGATGACTCTAGATTAGATGTTTGTTTCATACACCTGTGGGTGTTTTAGTCCAAAAGAGTTGCCCCTGTCCTGTGTGACCAAAATTTATGGACGTATTTTTGTGTTTACTTTCGGCATAAAAAGAACATTAATCAAACTAACTACAGAGTCTTGAAAATTTAATTACGATAATATTCTTCCTCTTGGAAATTTTATAAGCCTTAGAAAAACATTATTCACCCGAACGGTAAGGATATAAAATGAAGTTGGAGGTGATAATTCAAAGTTCCCATGTAGAGATCTATGTGCGAAAGTATCTGGGCAAAATTATTTTCTTTAGTCTCCTGAAGGAACGGGCACCTTTAAGGTTGCTGGCGAGCCTGTTGGCGTGTGCGGCTAGTCGATTTTTGTTTAGTGCGCTGTGGGGATCTTCAGGGCTCTGTGAAGACACTGTTGCGCACGTCATATGGACTCTTTTTCGATAGTATGGAGCTGCCAAGCCCAAGATCTGTATAGTGCATCAATAGATGGGTGCTACAGCATATAAGCTAAGCATCTACAAGCAAGGGAAAGTTTTATGAAAAGGTTGAGGAGCAATTTTGGCTTAGCCAACTTTATTTGCCAGCGTAGAAAAATTTTATTGATGTGGCTGGCGAAAATTGAGCGCTTTGCAAAGGTGTAATCGGGTAATTTGTTTCGCTCATCTTCTAATTGTAAAGCATACTGAGATGTTTTTAGCTGGGCACACTCCTGCGATGCTGTAACTACTGAGAGTACTGCGGAAAAGAGCGGGAATAAAAATAGCCGTATTGGGGGATTGTTATGCCCTTACTCCAGATCGTGGTTGACCACCTTGTGAAGCTGCTCCGTGGTTCCTTGCCCAGCGAGGAATCAGCAATGATGGCCTGGAATTTGGCGCCAAGACTCCTTAAGTCATTCTACGACAAGTCTTCCCCAGACCTTAGATAGCGCAGGTTCTAGGATCGGCCGACATGACTCTGAGTCGTCCTCCAGCTTCTGCATTATAGGAAGCGCTTTTGGTGTACGATTGCACACTTAATCATATCCCGGGGCATTATTTGGCTTCAGGCGTTGAAACACTCTTTCCAGCTCCTATGTAGTAATTACGATTGAGGAAGTCATGCTAGGGTTCAGAGGATACATCGGCTATGGTCTTGACAATCTCTTCTTCTGTGTCGAAGCTGAAAGGCGTGAATCGCTCCTCTGGATGGGCCGCGAAGGTGACCGCCTACTTTATGTCCACTAGATTCCTTTACTTTCTTTTGAGGGGGTCTGCCTCAGGGGTTGGCGTTCTGTCCGGAAGACATGTAAGTCAGATGGTTTTCAAAATGTCTTGCCCATTGTTCCTATTTGGGGGAGGGTTTTTATTAGGGAGGGTGGTCCAAAAATACAAGATTAAGTAAGGCAGTTACTACTCAAAATAATTTTGACGACATTCACTTGTGCCTTAAAGCTGAACGATTATTCACACTCTCACAACATACTAATAGTAGACGACGACTTGAGAATGTTTGGCGAACACTTTTTACAAAATCTAATCCGACAAGACTAAAAATACACTGAACAGATCATCACCACGGACCTAAGACACATAGAGACATAACTTGCCATTGGACATAGCAGGTAATCCTGATTTTACGAATGGGAACAGTTCAAGTTCCATCAAGGCCAGCTAGTAGACTCTGTAAATAACCAGATGCAAATTACCACAAAAATTCAAGGCCATCTAAATGAAATCTGAAGCTCCTTAAATAGCATTCAGAAAACAGACGATATAAAAACCGAACAAAAGTACCAAACAACTTTAGCAAAATGGAAAAAAATAAACAGAATAATAATTTATATTTCGAATATTTAATACAAGCAATAACTCTATCAAAAATACACCTTATCAGCCCTACAATTCTTAATGACATTGTTGTAAATTAAATAAGATATGAATATCTCACTAATATTAGCGTAACATATATCATATCAAAAAATTCCAGAATGAAAACTTATTGTATTTTCTTATTGAATTCCAAAAACCTTAGTTTGCAGAAGAAATTAAGGTTTATCCAGGTTGCTTTCTAGGCCAATACTGAGCAGGTGCACTACTTTGGCGTCAAGACTATCGTTATAGAAATCCGTGACGGCCATAATTTTATTAAGGGGGAGCTTACACAAACAATTTAGAAAGTAACACAAAAGCGGACACGTACGCTGAAAACTTACTGATCGATGCAATATAGCTATTGACGAATTTTGACACTCGCATCGGAGCTAAGTCAGCATTCTGTAGGTGTCGCTGCTGTAGACCTTGAACTAAGTGGTAGAGATTAAAGTTATGATAACTTGTATATATGAAGCAGTCGACAGACCAAGATGCTCAATAAAGATTGACTTCAATATTTAACTCCGTTATTTAATTGTTTTATACTATACGAATACCTACATGCCAAATTTGGTGGCTGTAGCTCCAAAGACCTTAAAAATACATATGTATATGCTAAGATAAACATATTTTGATTACGATTTTTATCGATTTCATGGACTCGGGACAAGTTTAATGTAGAACAATTTATTTTGCATTATACAGCAGCGCTACCGTATTTTTGAAAACTTTCAATTCAAAAAAATTTATTAGTAAGTCGACTATATCGACAATATTCTCAATGATGCTCATTATTTATGATTTGTTTTTGAAACATGGCAAATAAAATGTTAACTTAATGTGTGCATAAAACGATGTGTATATGAATGTGGAAAAAGTATGTATATTAATAAACTAGTTTGCTAGGCAGAAGGTCATATATATAAACGTAATTTCAGCTCGTCATCCTAATCAAATTTATGTTTACTTACATGCCAGAAATGCGTCCTCATTCATAAGTGTACAATGATTTTTAAATTTTGAGTGTACAAACACTATAATGCATATTGATGCTCTAAGAGAAATATTTAACGTGAACTGAAAACTGAAAACCAAAAAAAAACTACCAAAGCTCATAACAAAATTTACTATTGAGGCTGTCAACATAATAAAAGTGCCACTTGATCTTTGCTTGGAATCTGTTTTATTCTCTGTATAAAATGAGGAAAATAATTCAAGCTCTAATTTTTTATGTTCTTTCACCGACACTTGCTGCATCTACTTATGACAACGTGAATTACCATAGCAATAAATTCATTGATTTACAAACTTCAAAACAAATATCGGGCACCAGTGCACCAAATTTTGTACGACTTGTGATTATGCGGTTAATATATGGCATTGCGTCTACCATTGGTATGGAAGATCGTCTGGAAGATACATTTAATGGAGCTTTTGTACCCCCCAGTGCTGAAAATGATCTTGGAATAGCTGACATTGGAGGAGATGGTGAAGGATTTCTAAGCAATATTTTTGAAGACGACTACTAGTTTTGATATTCAAGAACAAATTTACACTGGAATGAGTTTTATCAAAAATTCTTTGAACTTTCACTTATTGGTTACGAAAACTTTATAACGTCCATTTCAGCATGAGTACAAAAATAAAGATATATTTTTAATTAATTGCTTAAATGTTTATCTAACTTGAATATATATTTTAATACCAATGATCATTATTAAATTATGTGTGCTATTTTAATATATATATTAACATTTAAAAAAATCCAAGTGTTCAAATATGTCGTCGTCTTAAGGGAGGTGTGTGTTTTGTATATACATCATGACTGGTTTGTTATACCAGAATTAACTATTTCAATCGAGGAGTTCTTAACAGAATAACCGAGATCCTGTCTCGAATGTCAGGCAAGTAGTGGTGAATAATGTAGTATTAGTATTTGGCTTGTAATCTCTTTATTTAAAGCAGTTTTTAATGACTTACTAATTGAATGACTGTCCGCACAGTGACCACACCTTAAGAGCCACAAAGCTGAAATTCTTGCCCAAGCTTTCTTTTGGGTCATAAGTGAGCAGCAATAACCATTTCCTAGGAAATTACGTAAGGCAAATGGGAAAAGCGTTGTTTAAAGTGCGTAAAAAAAATAAAAAAGCAACACAGCCATTAACCATGCTTTGCTAATTTGACATCATGAGCCTATCCGGCTTAGGTGTCTGACCGTTGAGCGAACAAGCGGCAGATCGCCAGTTCAATTCCAGCAGCAAACCTCAATATATGTATACATATATGTATATATTTATACCCTGAACCCATTGAAAATGGGTAAAAAGGGTATAATTTATTTGTGCAAATGTATGTAACTGGCAAATGTATGTAATCAGACCCCATAAAGTATATATATTCTTGATCAATAGCCGAGTCGATCTAGCCATGTCCGTAAGTATAAACGTAAGGATCTCAGAACCTATAAGAGCTAGAGACTTGATGTTTTAGCTGTAGGTCCTCCTTGTGCCCGCAGATCGATATTTCCGATATTCGATAATTTGCCCCGTTTCCAAGTAATCGATATCAAAATCCTGCTTTTTGAGCAATTTCGGATAAATAATATGAGCTAGAGTCACCAAACTTGACATGTAGTATAGTATATATATATGTATAGTATATATATGTCAAGCATCTTTAATTTTTTACCTATCGCCACCTCCCCGCTACCGCCACAAAGCCATAAATCAAGTTAATAGTCCAATTTGTATTGCCCAACTCAATTTAAGCCACAATTTATATGCAATTGACTTTTTGAGAATACACAAATATTCTTTATTCTATTCTACAATAAGATGTACTGTCGAAAATTTCATTAAGATCGGTTAAGAAACACAAATATGATGTGCGCACCTGTTAGCAGAAGCTTGCGCAAATTCCAAGAATTTCTGTATACACGTACACACACACATTCATGCGCGCCTCCTTTGTATTCTATCAACAGAATTGCAAATGCGATTGTATTGTTTTCTGTGCTGCTATTTTAATTTTTTTTTCTTACTGAGACTCAGTTACTGGTGTGGCTGTTGAGCAGCAATTAATGTGTTCAGTTGCGAGTTCGAACCCTGCCAAGGGAACTTGATTAATTTATCTTTATTACTACTAAAGCAAGAGAGCGCGTAGCGCGAGCTGCATTTGGTATTGGAATAAGAGGGTTCAGAACCTCTAATCTAGAACCTCTTATTTGTTTTTTTTATATTAATTATCTACAAAGAAATGCATAAATACAACAATGTAACAAAAAATGAATGGTAGCTTAAAAATATTCACTAAAGTGTATTTGTTTAGGTCAGACAGGTCTCTATAAGATTGAGTAACGTAGTTGGTTAAGTGTCGGCAAACTGAGCACATGGTTGACGGCTCCAGCTTGAGAAGAAGAAAGACAAAATATTTGTTTAATTAAAATTAAATTTGACCTGACTGTTTTGACTTTTCCAATTTCGTTTGTAATTGAATAACAATAAGTAGGTTGTTTGAGGGAAGGGAACTTGTATGTTAGGCATTATTTATTTCATCCCGGCGAAGACGGGTAACTTTTTCTATGTACATGAGCCCGATTGCAAGGCATACCATTCAATCATTTCCATCTGTAATTCGTAAAATATACTAAGCCCAATCATCGAAAACATTAATGTTGATCTTTGTTTGCCCAAAGCACTGTTAGCGAATATTTTACCTTATTCCAATGCAATTGACCAAGGAGTATACCTTATTAGCAGTCAATCGAGAAAACAGATTATTATTATTTAAACAAATTCAAACCGAATCACAAAAGATCGAAACTCTTATCTCGAAATAACGGTATACGTTGCGAAGTATTGAACGAGTAAAAGACTATAGAAGAAGAGTATCTACTTGATTAGTAGTGTATTATAGAAGACTTAATACGAGTCTCTAAACTGAATATCTTGTAATGGTTATTGTAATCATCACAGAGAACACGTCAAAGACAGGTAATTTCTTCTATATATATAATATATAAAACATAGAATGGAGCTGTTGTTTGTATTTTATTATTTCTTTTTTATATGAAAAAGTTGATAGTGATGAAGCGGAACACTTGATTGCTTTTTTTTTATG